AAAGAAACCAAGGGGCTGTGGCTGCTGCTTGTGGGGGTGTGCCCTGAGAAGCAGCGCTCGAGCAGCTTCTATCCACCATCGTCTCCGTGCCCCCTTCTCAGTGCTGCTCCAGCATCCAGCATCCATGGGTCTCATCATTTCCATGCTCCCTTCTCGGTGCTGATCCAGCATCCATGGACCCCGTCATGAGCTCCTCACAATCCTCCATGTACTTCCCTTCACAGCACCCGAGGCATTCGGGAAGCGCCGTCCTCCCCACTTGGGAACTGAGAAACCACATAGGCATATGCAGGTGTTTAGGCACCTCTGTGTCCCTAAATACCTTGTGCTTGAGGGAGTGAGCTGAGCTCAGGTGTCCTGAGCAGTGCTGAAGTGTCCTTCCCCAGTGATGCCAGCAAGGAAAGCCAACGCATGGCAGTCCTGTGGCTCATTTCTTGTTCCTAAGGCCCAGCCTGGCTTGCAGGCTGCCCTGTTTTTTGCCAGCCGCGGCCCACTGGTGCGTCTGCACTACCGCAGGCGGCCGACGTAAGCAGGCTGGGCTACTGCCAGCCATGGCTTATGTCCCATTTGCAGCCCCAGATGCAGAGGCTTCTGCTCTCCTGATGCTCCCACTCGACCCTGAACTAAGGTCTCTCATGCCCACGTTCATCCCCCTCCCTCACTTGTTCCCTTAGCTTCCCTCTCCTCTGGCTCTTCCCCCTCACAATGCAAGCATGCCTCAGTTGCTCTCCATCCTGGGCATGACCCAGCCATGCAGGCAACAATCAGGGGGCTTGTCTGTCTGCTCCCCTGGCTCCTGGTGCTCCCATCCTTAAACCTAGCACCCTTGATCCACCTGCCTCTCCATCAGCTGCCCCTTCTCCCTTGGCTTTCTCATCGTGGTGCTCCATGAATGCACTGCCTGCCATTCCTCTCTTCATTTCCATCTCAGACCTTCCCCAGTCCCCAATTTTCCCCTGCTCCTCTCCTGAACTAGCCTTCAGATAAACTCTTTACACAGGGCAGCATAGGATCCTGAGAAATCTCTGATGCTCTCCCAGTTAAGCCATTTCTGCTTGACTGCAAAACTGCAGGAAGGTTGTCAGCAAGACAGCAGCAATTTGAGCTTCTCCACGGTGGATTTGTTTGCTCGGTGCTAATGATGAGGTTGGGGACCTACCATATGTCTGATCACAGTCCAAAGAAATTTCATTCCCTTTATCTATCATGAGCCTTAAGTGGCCTGAGGGGCATGGTCGCACTTCCGGTCCGACACCAAGGAGACAAGCGGCACATAGCTGTCTTCTGCCATGAATTTGGCAGAAGAGTCAGCAAGAGGCTCCTTTCAGGAAAGGTGAAGGGTCCCACTCTAATGAAGGGCACACAGGTTTCCTGTGTGATTGTCTTGCTGCCCCTGCAGATGCAAAATAAGCAAAATAACCTGCAAAAAGGTTACGGTTTATCCTTTAAATAGGCTCTTGCTGAAGAAATCAGGGGGCTTCAACTACCATGCTCTGATGGTCCTGGGATAGGGCAAAGCCTCTCCTGTTGCTGATAGTCTGCTTGCCCCGGCTGGCTGCAGGAGACATGTTGCAGAAAAAGCCGTAGATTAACTCAAGGGAGGTTGCAACAGCCTGGTACATGATACGTGCTGGCAGGGGATTGCCAGTCTGTCACCTTATAGTGAAGGTCCAGTATGATCTGATGTCCTGCCAAAGATGGCACGGAGCCTGGGACTGCCCTGCAGCTCCAGCTAAACAGCCTGACACTACAGCGCTGTGCCTGGTGCTCTCCTATTACCACCTATCCTCTTCCCCAAAAGTGCACAAAATGCTGATGTGCAGCTGAAAGCACTTCCCCGTGGGCTTGATTGTGTGCCGAGCCAGAGGGAAGGCATCCAACGTACCCCCGGTGCCCACACAAGCAGCCCCTGCACCGACCTCTCTGATGGCAGCTGAGCAAGGGAGGCACAAGCTGGGCGCTGACTTTCTTCTGGGAGGCAAATCCCCTGGGCGGCTGCCAGGATAGCTCTCAGCTCGGCCTTCCTTAGTATTTGCACCCTGCACGTGTGAGGGATATTACCTTCCTCTGCTCTCCACTTCCAAACAACACAAACCTCTCGTGCACAGCTGCTCAGATCCTGGCAGCGGGGCTCAGAGCCCAATCCCTTCTGCCCAGCTGCGTGGATCCAAGTTGTAGCATAACAGTAGACAGGCCATCCATTTATCCCACCTAGGAATGCATCTAGAGAATGGACCCAGAAGTGGGATGAACATAGCACTGCATGCCCTTGTTGCAAAGAGTGTGTGCCCTTGTTGCCAAGAAGCAAACAGCAACCTGGGCTGCATTAGTAGGAGTGTAGCCAGCAGATCAAAGGAAGAGATTCTTTCCCTCTATTCGGGGATAAAAGTTGTATCCGTGTTGGTCTAGAAGTAAAAGCAGTCAGTGTGGTAGAGGTGATATCTTTTATTAGACCAACTAGACCGTTGCAAACATTTTTTCTTTATTTGCAAGCTTTTGGGCTCATGTGCCCTTCCTCGGGCAAAGGAGAACTTTACAATCTTTGCTGGTGGAAAATTCTCCTTTGCCTGAGGAAGGGTGCATGAGCCCAAAAGCTTGCAAATAAAGATTTTTTTTTTTGCAACGGTCTAGTTGGTCTAATAAAAGATATCGCCTCTACCACCCTGACTGCTTTTCCCTCTATTCAGCACTAGTGAGACCACGTCTCGGCACTGGTGAGACCACATCTGGAGTCCTGTGTCCAGTTTTGGGCCTCCCACTGCAGAAAGGATGTGGGCAAATTGGAGAGAGCCCAGTGAAGGGCAATGAAAATGGTTGTGGGGCTGGGGGACAGGACCGGTGAAGAGAGGCTGAAGGAACTGGGCTGATTTAGTCTGCAGAAGAGAAGACCGCAGGGGATTTGATAGCAGCCTTCAACTCCCTGCGGAGGGGCTGCAAAGAGGATGTAGCTGGGCTGTTCTCAGTGGGGGCAGGTGACAGGACAAGGAGCAATGGGCTCATGTTGCAGCAAGGCAAGTTGAGGTTAGATATTAGGAAAAACTCTCTCACTAAGAGGGTAGCAAAGCACTGGAACAGAAAGGTGGTGGAGTCTCCATCCTTGGAGGTGTTTAAGACTCGGAAAGACCAAGCTTTGGCTGGGATGATGTAGTTGGGGCTGGTCCTGCTCAGGGCAGGGGGTTGCACTAGATGTGACCTCCTGAGGTCCCTCCCAACCCTCGTTATCTATGAGTCTGTGCAAACCCTGCTCAGGCCCCGCCTGGGTGCTGCACTGTGCTGCTTGCACGATGACGCAGTTGCTGGGAGACGCCAGCCTGCCGTGCACGCATTGCTAAGCTTAAATAAACTGACCGTGGCTCTCGCAGCTGTTCCAGCCCTCGCTGTGAACACCGCGCCTGATGTGTAAGAGCCAGAAAATCCCCTCGAGCCCCTACAGCTGCAGGTCCCGAAGCCTTGTGGGGAGGGTGGTGGCCTGTGAGGCACGGGGCCTTCTCGGAGCTTGCCCTGTCTCACATGGGTGCCAGGATGCGTGCAACACAGGTGGCTCTTTCCACTGATTTTCCCTTTTCCTGAGGAAATTGCACATGGACCCCTTTACAGCCTCAGATGCAGAAGCTTTTCCTCTTTGACCCTTTGCTTGAGTATCAGAATTGTTTCTCCCCTATGAACACCTATGTTTTATTTTCCACCCTCCTTTGACTGCACGTCAGCCGTAACTAGAGGCAGGAGTTTGGTGTGATGTGCTTCAGCCCATACTTAAAATCCCTCTGTGAAGGGCGAGCGAGGTAACAGAGGACCTTTGCCATTCATTCATCATGCAGGCATTTGCTAGGATGCTTTGGTTTCTTGTGCCTGTGACTGTTGGATATTTAGGAACAAATAGGAAAGTGAAAGGGTGGTGGTGGCTGTTACATTTGCTTCAGGTCCAGGACGAGATTATGCTCCTATATAAATAGGAAACATCTCTCGAAGCCAAAAGGCAGCATACCTGGAAAGGTATCTTGGCCTGTTGGAGACATACAGCGAAGTCCAGTGCTAAAAGAGATTTGGGGGCTAGATCTTCAGACATACCCCTGTCTAAATGTGTGCATGCTTGCTGCAACTGCATGCATTTTCCCTAGGTGTGCTGATTTGCACAGAAAGCCATGGCAGTGGTCCAGCTGACCTGCTCGAAAATCTGGATGAAGTGCAAAAATAATGAGGATCCGGTGCTAAAGATGAAAATGAAGCGGTGCTCCATCCTCGGAGCCCACATCAGGCGATCGTACCCTGAAGGCGCTGCACCACATCCACAGACCCTGAACATCACCGGCGCTCATAAAGATCCCCTTCAGAAAAAGTCGCATGCACCATCTCTGCTGGGAGTTTTTTTGCTAGCTAGCTCTGGTGGGCATAAGAAGTTGACGGTGTGGGGATATCATCTTTCCTTTTTTTGCCTAGTCCACCAGACTGCTAATGGTAGCTGTAAATGGGTCGGGAAGTGGTAGAGGGTTTGTGCTGTTGGTGCTGGACACACAGCATGTCTTGTTGTCTCGGCTGTAGTGTACTCCCCGGGGAGGCTTTATGGGAATCCACTGCCTGACGGGCTGGTTTATAGGCCTGTTTTCCCCTCTGCTTATTTTAGCTTGAAAAAATAAACAGAAAGCAATAAATGGAAAGCAACTGGCAGCAAAAATGTATCTGGGCGCTCTTCTAAGAGTTCAAGTTCACTCTCTGTCCGCAGAGGACGCAACGGGCTTTGCAATGCTGTATGCTGATTCAGTGGCCATATTTCAATGAGGATGAGACGGGGTGATGGAAGAGAAAAGACTGGAGAGCATGGCCTTGTATTCTGGCTTGGAGCATGCTGGAGAGAACAAACCTCTGAGTGCTGAGGAATAAATTAGGACATCTGTAAATCTATGGGAATGGGCAATGGGGGGGAAAGCAACAGGCAGTCAAAGCTGCTGAAGGCAGCGGGTCAATGCTGGTAGTTAACCATGCTCTGCTTCAAACAAGTGCAGACTGGGCTGGGGTCTGCGTAGGGGCAGGTAGCGGGTCTGGGGAGGTGCAGGAGGGGGTCTCCCATGTCCCCACAGGGACAACGGCTGAAGGTGGAAGAGTGACGTTGCGGTAAGCTGCGCCGCTCCCCCTCATCATCAGGGCACGGGCTTTGCTTCTCTTTACGGATCAGGGTGGCCCGGAGGGAGCAGCAGGCAGCGTCCAGGTTTCTGCCTTTCTCATTCAATCCCTCGGCTTCCAGGCTTTGCCGTTGCCTTCTGGCCCGACGCCGAGCTAGGCCTGCTGTCAGGCGAGCAACGCAGCGGGGACGTGGCCCACAAGCGGGGAGATGCTGGTGGTCTGTGTGGTCGAGGCTCATCCGGTCACGGGTGGCTCTGGTTGTATCCCGAGGAGCTGTCACAATGTGCTGAACATGACGCAGTAGCCGCAGGAAACGCGCTCGCTCCCCGAGCTCTTCCAGCTGCTGAGGCAGCAGCTCTTGCCAGCAAAGCTGTCAGCTGGTGTTTCTGGAGCAGCAGAGCTGTCTGCAGGGAGAGGCATGTGGGATTGTACATAGGGTGGCTATTTACACTTGGATTTCGCTGCCTGGCTCTGCCCCCAGCCCTGTATCCCCATATGCTTTCCGCAGCAGCCTTCAGAGTACAGCAAAAGGCCGGTGCAAGTGTTGCGGGGCTTTCTTGTGGCTCAGGGAGGTTTGATGTCTCTGATTTCGGATGCAGTGCCGCAGCACATCCAGGGCTTGCTTTGCTTCTGCAGGATGAGGTTGGTCCCTGCCCGCCCTCCGCAGCCCCCTGCATGTGCAGTCCCAAGTCTGCACCCATCGCTGCTCTCCTAACCTGGAGCACCTCTGTCCAAGAGCGGCCGTGTGCTCAACACCTCTGCTCAGTCCATCAGGGTCAATAATGGGGTTTTGAGCTGAAACACCAGGAAAAAAATGTCCCTTTGGGATGAAGTGGGAGAATTTGCAAAAGGAACAAAAGGAAAAAACTCATTTTGGGGCAGCCCAAGTTCTTGCCTGGAGGGGAGATGGTTTCTTGTGCTCTGGGGTTACTTCACCATTTCTTTTTCTTAAATCAAACCCTTTTCTTTGAAAAAAATAGTCAGTTTTTTATTTAAAAAATGGCCTTTCTAGGGAAAACCCAAAGTTTCAAGTTTAAAAAGTCTAATGGAAGCATTTTGGCATTGAACCCAACTGCCAGCAACGTTTTCAGTTCTTTCCCCCTCCGCTTCTTCTGGCTGAAGCTGTCTGATGAGTCCATCTGCCAAGCTCCCACCCTGCACAGTATTCAGCTCAGGTGCGGCATCACGTCTCCGTCTTGCAGCGTGCGGCTTTCCTGCTATTTTTCCGCGAGCGTTTGCTCGTTTTGGAGGACGTGTGGGGCCCGTGACGGCTCAGCACTGGACGGTGATATCCTGGCTCCATGGGAATATGCTGTTAGCCCTGTACTCCACTAATCAGTCCAGCAGTCAAGCGGCTTGTGGTTCGGATGCTAACGGGTTCAGCATTAGCTGAGGCCTCTCTCCGTGGGGCTGAGTTGTGCCAGAGAGATGGACCTGCAGGCCCCAGGGCTGAGATCAGCTGCAATTCAGGGAGAAAATGCATGGTCCGGCGATGCAAACAGTGCACCTCACCTCTGACCGAGAGCACTGGTAGCTGTGGGAAAGCTTGGCTTGATAGTCTGTGCCTATAAATGGAAAATTTCTGCTCCCAGAATGCAAACCCTTTCCCTTGCCATGAAAATCCCCCCTCCTTCCCCCACTTTATTTATCTTTTTAATTTTTGTTTCTCTGTAATGAAAGTGCCCGGCGTTCGGGAGCTGCTGTCCATCGCAGCGCTCTGCCAGCGCCTGGTTTTCATGAAGCTTGCTGCCTGCCGACTGCCTGGGATGAGGCCAGGCTGCTGGTGCTTCTCTGTACGGCGCTGGCTCTTGCGCGGTCACCCTACAGAAAGGCTTTGCATGTTTGCACAGAGATGCCGCTCGCTGCCAGAGCCTCTGCGTTTGCCCAGACGATCAGTCCAGCTCCCTGCAGTGCGCCTGGGTGTCTGCAGGAGGCAACACCTTCCCATTGCATCTCCCCGGCGGGGTGGGAAAAGCAAGGTTTGGTTTCTTTCTGTCGGGAAAGAAATGCCAGAAGCTGCAGCCAAGGGGGTGGAAGAGAGCTGCCAGAGACAGGGTCCTGATCCTGACCTCCGCCACACCTAGGTCTATGCAAAATCACCTCTCCAAGTGAACTCAGCTCAGATGCACCCTGGTTTGGCTCGGATCAGCAAAGGCTTGCTCCGCACTCCAGCGCTGGCTCTTCAGGCAGCTGTCAAGTCTAATGCAGGCTCGCCTGGCTGGTCCACCTTCCCGTGCCCCTGTCCACGAGCAGCCAGATTTGTCAGGCAGAGACGACCACCTCATGCCTTTGGGGGGAAGTAGCTTCTGCTTCCCTGGAGGTCATTGGTGGAGCCAGTTTACACCCATTTAAAGACCTGTCCCCGTCCCAGCACCGTGCTAGGGCACCAGGGTCGTTAACACAACACGCATGCTTTCAAGAGAGCCGCGGACCTGCCTGCAGCATGTGTGCAATTGCACACCGAGGCCTCAGTCTTCCCGTCCTCGTTACAATCAAGCCATCGTGCTCAGAGAAATAAAGGCCAGAAAGCAGACAGACAGAAAGCGCCTCTCATGCCAGAGACCCTATTTATACCTTGAAAGTCTGGCCTGCCTGGGGCATATGCCTTGTGTCAGCTGGATGCACGCATGGCTGGGCCTGCACAAACAGCAGCGTGGTGTGGTAAGGCATCTGAAATGTGGATCCATTAATTGGTAGGAAGGCTCTTAATGAAATGAGCTTGAAAAGAAGCAGGCAGAAGGGCAGGCTGAGGATAATGCACTCAGCAAAAGAATTAGATGATTTAGGAATTTTAATTAAATTTGACATAGCATGAGAAGGAAGGGAAAGGAGGGGGGAGAGATGGGCAGGGCTGTGTGGGCTTAAAGCACAGGCCAGGTTTAATCAATAGAAGAGAAGCCAGTGCTGCGCTCTGTGAAAGGGTAGGAAGTTGGAGCGGAGGGAAAATGCACCAGAAGTCCTGGGGATTTGAACAACGTCTCTGCACAGGTTGGGCTGGCCCCGTCTGGATGTCACATCTCCTCTTCCCCAGGTCCCCTCAGTTGTGGTGGTGGGTGTGTGCAGGGGCAACGTCAGCTCTGTCTCCCCTCAGCATTAGGGTATGAAGCCTGGCAGCTCATGCCCATCCTGCTAGGGTGGAGCTTCACCCGCGATGGGCTGGGAGGTGATTGCTCTTCATAGACTCGGGGTCAAGCCTTGGAGGCTGAGCTCAGCCCGCTGGCTGGGTGACAAAGGGCTGTGCATGTCTGCCTATGATTTCTCACTTCAGGGTGCATACTAGTGTTGCACACGAACTGTGTCCTGGAGCAGAAGTGTTGCATCTCTGCTGGGGATGACAGCTGCAGGAGCTAAAATGTGTCCACGCTCAAATGCAGGAAGGCCGGGGGGAGCAGCAGAGGCACCGTGGACTTGGGCTGACAAGGGAGTGGCACTAATTTATCCGAAGACAGTGTTAAAGGGTTGCAGACTCAAGGAGGTAGCCTCTTTCCTTCCATGCAAACTAATCTGATTTGCAGTTGGGCTGGGTTTGAGGAGGAATCAATGCAAACGAACCAAAATAATTTACTTTTGAACAGAAACCAGCATGCCCTCATGGGAGCTGGCACTGGTTTAATTAAATCCAGCTAAGAGCACCATGGTATGGACAGACCAGAAGGCATAAGCACTGGCTGGGCGTGAGGCTGCGGCCGTGCCCCTTCAGCCCTATTATCAGGCCGGTGTAAGAGGTCAGGGAGATGCTACCGGAGCCAAATGCTCGTACTTCACACGTGCCAGTGTTGGTGCTGTGGGTGAGGCAGGGAGGATCAGGCCTCACTCCAGCTCACAGCACAGGCTTTTTGGCAGTCATGCATGTGCAGGGCATCACTATTAGGTGTCCTCAGTGCTGCTGCCATATGCCTAATAGATGCGTTCACACGCAGCTTCTCTGCAAAGCAGCTGGCACGTGGAGCTCTTTGCAAACCCGATTTCTCCAAATGGGACCCTTCCTGGAGGGCTTGGGAAGGAAGGTGCTGCAATTTTGGGACCTGAATTCCTGGGCTTCAGGTCAGCTCTTGGGAAACACCAGTGCCCTTCCTGCATGCTGGGTTGATGTCTTTCTGGTATCATGGGGGGTACCTGTATTGCCTTCCTGCCTCCTGACATCCCCGTCAGCACATGGTGCACAAGGCCCCTGTGATCATACCTGGATGCAGTTACCTGGCTGCTTTCGTGCTGCTCCAGTTTTCCTTTCAGCCCTGATAAAGAAGGAAGGTGTCTGCCTAGCTTTGCACTGACCCACCTTGGGTCTGTGTCCATCAGACTTCACATCCACGAGAAACAGGGGTTTCCGATGGGGTGGAGATGCTGGGGCTGAGCTCAGGAAAGCGGTGAGCCAGCAAGGAGTGAGCTAGTGACAGAGAAAACCAACTGGCTGTCCATTTGTCCAGCAGCTCACGGCCAGCCCGGAGACTGTAGTCTTTAAAGAAATCACATATATTCCCTCTTAATTGGATCTATCGAAGAGCGAGAGTGAAGAACTACCCGACAGGCGTGTCCTTTGATTACTCTCGAGAGCAATGAATCCACCGTTGAGGGTAGCTTGAGGCTGTGAAAGCAAAATGATCTAGCTTCCGCATTTCCATGTGTTACAGTGCTCTTTAATGGAAACACTGCTGGTAAAATCCTTTGTGCTACCCAGATGATGAGCTTTGGGAGTAATTATTTCAGAAGCCTTTTTTTTGGCGGGGGAAATAAAGCTGTTTCCACTTCTGTTGGGTCTGTTCTTTGGGCAACGTTGGCTGTCCTCTATGTGTCTTTATTTTCTTCTCCTGCTAGATCAGGCCTTCTCGGAAACTGTCTGTGGAAAGTTGGCATAATCTGTGTAATGCCCCCACGCCCCCTCCATTTGCTGCTT